AAAAAAAAAAAAAAAGAGCAACTTTTCCTCATAATACAGCACTGCAAGTAGCACAAGCAGCAACATTACCATGCTGTAGCTATTTATAATAAAGTTAAGGCATTTATAAAAGCATAGAGCAAATACACCTTCTAATTATTATTTTTTCACTGCATGTTTAGCCTTAGGTTACTGAGTTCTGATTGCTGACTGCATGATTTCCCAGTAGCAGAATTCATTCCTCCCTTGAAAAAAGAAGCGGTACAGTAGAGGCCCCACCTTGCTCAAGACAGTGGCAAGGAGCATGGCCAGCTCTCAGTGTATTGCACCATCAAGCAACCCTAGAGAAGGTGGGTCCAGACTTGCTATACTTTTGTACACACTATAAGACTTGCTATGCTCTAGTTTCCACTACATTTAACTACACTTTAACATTCATTAATAAAATACTAAAATAGTGTAACAAAAATCATGTTGTATAAAAAAGGGAAGCCTTTTACTACAGTTTTTAGTTTAAACAACCGTTTTATTTTAAATTCAGTCTTTATTGCACTCAGGGGATAAGAAGGCAAAAGACAAGTGGTAGGAAGAAAAAAATACAGATTTCCACTACAGTTTGTATCCCATTTGCCTCAGAGCAAAGTTTAAATACATCCTTGTGGCGTATCCATGCAGACAGCATTAGCATACCACAACTCTCACAATCTTGGTATAGTCAAACCATGTCTGATTTACACTTCAGGTACTCCAGAGATGTCTTCATAAAGCACTATGAGTAAAGGGTAACACCTTAAAGGTCACAGATGCCAGGAATTCCTCATTTCAACTCATACTCAGAACTTCAGTAGAGGGGAATCCAGATTTTCTTTGTTCAGGTCAGGACTCAGAGTGATCAGGGGAGAGCTCAAATCAATTAGCTAAAAGAAGAAAAACAAGATTTAGCTATTGCAGTTTGTTCTATTTCACTGAACTATTTGTGGTGACATATTGGAGTAGCATAACTGAAATCCTGAACTTAAGATTATTACCCAAAAGACAGCTAAGCACCCCATTCAAACATCTACATCTAGATTTTTAAAGACTGAATTTATTCTTTAACATACACACAAGGCACAAACTTGTAAGAAGTTTGATACCTCCATGCTCACAACATTTAAGTTTTATTGCTTACTAGTGCTTTAGTGGCACTAGTGGCATTTGAGTGGCCCTATCATCAAGGAAGGGCACAGAAATTCCAAGCTCCTGTAAACGTGTCTTTGGAAAGCGCATTTTCATGATCCCTTTTTGTGATCCCTTCTAATAGCCTGATATTAAATGACGTTGGGATCAATTCAGTGTTGAGGGCAGTATCATCATAGTTACTACTTCCTCTGAAAACTTCTGGAATAGTCCAGCTTCAAAACACTAGCTTACCAAAAACACCCACCCAGAAACATCCAACCTCAAAGAAGGGTTCCAATACACTTTTTTTCTTTCCCCCTCAAACTTCGGACGGTATGAGACATTTAATTTGCAGAGAATTAGAGCTTTTTGCTGCATGTGGTCTGCTGCTGACAAGAACAGAGAATCCTCAAGAAAAGTAAGATTCATCATGACTGGTGGTGAAGACAGCTCTCAGCTCCTCCTGCAGGAACAGTTTCTCTAACAAATACTTAAACATTAAGTACTGCTTCCCAAATATACCCTGTTTTTATTTGCAGATTGCTCCTTCAAGTGTAGTTTAGTGCACATGATTTATCTTTAAACTTCATGTTCTCTTTACTTGAGAGCTTAATACTTTGTGTTTTCTTTGCTTAAAGATAGCTTTGTATGTACTATCATATTCAACAATATGTTAGTGCTAAATAATTCTGGAAATACTGTTGGGCTGCGCTGCAGACAAGTGCATGCAGTCAGCAGACAACTTTTCTGGAAAAAAAATGAGAGCAATTATAAACAGAAAACTCCAATGTAACTTACCTTTACCTGTGCTGAGAGAGCAGGCTTTAGAGTAATAGTCTTATTCACTTCAGGGGTATTGGAAAGATCAATCAGAGGTCTACTTTCACATTCCAAAGTCTGAGGGAGAGATTTATCTATTCCAAAATCAACTAGTAAGATCTAAATAAATAAATAAAATTAAAAAATAAATAAATAAGGAAAAAAAGTTGAGTCTTCTCTATTCACGGTGAGGCTAGTTTCACTCATAAAACTAAATTTTAAACTTTATGATGGGGTATTACTTGCAGAATACTTTGCATACCACATAGAAACTGTTTCTGTCCCACAAGTGGCTAGCATCATAAACTGTGTGATCAGAGTGACAAGTAAAGCAAAAAGTTCCTTGGAACATAAAACACTCAAAGCTATAATCGAGTCAGGCTTTCAGAGGATTCTAGCTATCTTTAAGTGCTTACCAATTATTTCAGAATGTTCTTTTGCCATTAAGCATTTCATAGAGCAACAAGCTTTAGTTATGCTTTTGTCCAGTTTAATTATTCTATGCATGGGTTAAGCAATTCTCTAACAGTTCTCCAAATGTGGCATTGAGTTGGCTACTGTAGGAAATACATTGATGCAGTAATATATTGAGTAAATCACCTAGAAGAAGGTTAATTCTGTACATTAATATATAGAAATATTCTGTAAGGCAGTTTGACAAATAAGCCTCTTCAGAACTACCAGTTAATTTTTAATAGATGTATAATGTTATTTTTCAGCCTGAAACCACCATGGGACAGAAGAATATAAAAAGTTGAGAAACTTATTTGTTGTTACATGGGCTTCTGTGTTTAATTCACATATCTGAGTATTTCCACTGCTACTATTTAGAAACAAGCTACAAATTAAAAAACTGTTTCTCTATAGCAGTGCATTTTCCTGGCTGCAAAACTGCTTTATGACACACCTTTTGTGACTGAAGCCATCATTTTATTTTCCACTTGCAATCCACAGCTGCAAATTCAATATAAAATCTGCAAGTATTATACCATTCACTTTGAGATTGGGATCTAGCACCAAGCTAGAGATCTTCACCAGCTAGTGAAGAGCTCAGTACTAAAAATAGACACTAGAGGGTGCACACACTCAGATTTTTAGCTTTCATGCTTTAAATTCCATGTACTGGAATATTTCAAATTGAGGTATGAGTAAAAATAATTCATATATTATTCAAGCAGTTCACTTAGTTGTGTAGAAAAATGGATCCTTTTCTTACATCATTAATCTGCATCTCAGACAGCTGATTTTGTACTCCATTCTCTCGTAATTCACTTTCCACTATTTCTGCAGTCTTTTCTGGTGAAAAGTCAAGTGTTAGAGGTAGCACAGGTGGAGGAGATATATCATCTTCTGGAGATATCTGTGGTTTAGTCTCTCTTGCCTGTTCAGAACTGGGGGAAAGGAAGTGGCAATAATTAATACCTCATGATGATTAAAGAACTGAGAAACAGACAAGCTTAGTTAACAGCATAGGATTCCATCACTGACCAAGATATTATTTCAAATGAAACCTAGGTAAAACTGCTGAGAAGATAGAGTTCAGCCAACCTCTAACAAAGTATCATTTAACTAAAGCATTCACCAGAGTGTAAAACATAGGTAAAAGTAATACTGGTTTTAAGTAGCTACTTACCCTCAACAGGCAATAGTAGAACAACACTGGCTCCAAATCTACCTCAATTTTTAATGAGAACAGATACAAGTTACACCCTAGTTAAAGAAATGCCAATAAGTTCTTAAATGCCTAATTTTGACTCGTCTTTAATAGAGTTTACAGCATTACACTTCTAGATACACTAAACCTATACTGAATCTAAATATTTGAGTATTCCATTCTAACATTCTTTGAATTTGATAGAGACTTTAAAGTTTAGTTTAGAACAGTTTGCCTAACCACTGTTTTGAGGTTCTGCCTTACCCATCTGTAAGGCTCTTTTTGGCAGATAGGCTGAAAGTTTGGTGAGCAGGAGAAGCTGCCATTCTTGGGGCATTTCTAGGAGTCACTGCTGGAAACCCCGAGATGCGACGGATGGATGTTGGTAACGCAGTCCGCTTCAAACTGGAGGGAGTCATCGAAACCGAGCGCTCGCGGAAACAGGAATTCTGGGAGACTCCTTCTTCTGAGTGTTTCACAGGAGTGCTCACTGCCATGGCACTAGAACATGACATTTGCATTAGCTTCTGGGAACAATATTATTCTACCACTTAGAAGTGAGCTTGCCTTTGGCACAAAGGGATGGGCCTCATGGAATTGATCACAGTAGTATAACATGGGTTTTACTTCATGAAACACTGTGAAGTGTATTTTAGTATCATAGTATTTTCATGCCATAAACAATCGTGGCCAGTCTAATATTGCAAAGAATATTCTTTAGAATATTTTTTAAAACATCAGTCCCAATAGGCATTAACACTGCTTATGCTGGAGAGAAGCAGCCAGCTCTCTAATAGTGGCTTGAGTTCTCAGCACTAGTAAAGAACACAAAGATTAAGAGAATATGGAAGTCTTCAGGGACCAGAGAAACAACCAGCTGTGTTACACTGAAAAGCATGTTTCAGCATATTCACCTTTCAGTTATGCCCTACCTTCCAAATCTGCTACAAAAAGTTAATCCAAGAGATGGTGCTGCTTTTGAAACTGGTTTGCCTGGTGCTGTATCTGAAGAGAAACACATTCTTAGTGTTAATTGTTAATCACTCAGTCATTTTACAACTGTAGATATCTTTCAGTTAAAATATTTTGTTCATCCAAGAGCTGGACAGAAGTTTAATAAAACAAGTGACAGGGATTTGAGAAATCATTTGATTTTGTCAGTCAAATTATCAGGAGATGGGTCACAAAGCATGTGCTTACCTTCACCCTTCACTGGGACCTTAATCTGACTTGTAAGAACAGATGGAACTCTAGGCTTAAGCTTTGGACACAAGCTTCCTTTTGTTACACTTCCATCTTTATTCTGCTGACTTAGCTTCTGCAGATTGGGAAGAGAACTGAGCCTCTGAATTCCACTGCGCATGGCCTCAGATGATGAAGTAGAAGCTGCAGATTTGGCTGAATTTGCAGCACTAGAAGTTTTTGGAGTGCTAGCTGATCTTGCTTCCTTGCCAGATCTCTCAGTGTTGGCAGCCTGCAGAGAAGAGGCTTTCATGGGCCTAAGCAGAGCCAATCTATTTGTATTAGATGGAAGTTGAGAGCCACTCACACAGGCTTTTGAAGACACACTTGGTTTACCTGAAAAGAAAACTAAGTTAAATTCAAAATGATTGCTTATTGTTACTTGTTTGAATAAGCAAATAATTAAGTTCACACAAGATATACAGAAAGTAGCAATTTGCCACTGAACTTTAAGGAGAACATACAAATACTGAAAATGCACTCCCTCCTTAAATTCTCAAGCAACTCTGCCCATTTTAAGCAATACCTCACCAACATACTGAATTACTGTAATCAAGTCAAAGCATATTCTGCAAGAAATATCAAAAGAGCTTGCAGATTCAAGTTTTATTTTCAATATTTTCTTCCAGCATTGTTAACTTAAAGGGAACAAAACTATCATTCAAATTATTCTGATTTATACCATATGATCTATCACATCCTCAACTTTTCCTCAGTTTTCAGTATAGCTTTTATTTTTTACTCAGTTTTAATGACTTTCCTTAGTAGTATTAACCTTGACACTTGTTCCAGTTGTATAGGAAGCTCTTACTACACTTTAGGTTTTATTGATACCTCAAGTTGGCCCAGTCCAGAAGCAGGTACAGAATAAAAATTTGGAATAGCTTGGTATCTTGCTAGACATGCAAGAACTACAATGCTTACACCTGTCAGTTGAGAAAACCATTTTCCTGATCCTTTGAGGTTAACTGAAAGGGTCAAATAGATGTCTATTACACTATAACACCTTATCTATATTCCGTTTTATTCCAATATTGAATTTAGTTTTGAGTAAAACCCATTCTTTTAACAGGTTTACAGAAAGCCAGGGTTTGCAGACAGGCATTCCACGTTCCTTCTGTAGTTCAGAAAAAGAAAAAAAACAAAGTTGAGCGAGACAAGCTCACAGCATTCAAAAGCTCACATGCTTAGCTATAATATAGAAAAGCATGCATAACAGATTTCCTGAGGCAGTGCATATTTTTACTGCTTCAGATTGAGTGTATCTGGTTATTGCAAACGAGATCTAAGACTTATCTCCATATGGATTTGGAGAGTCTAAAAAAAACTTCTAAAAAGTCTAAGATCTCTGTTCAAAATGTTTCGTGCTGTCTGTATGTACTAGACAGCATCCAAACATACTTAAGTTTACAATCCAAGAGATGCTTAGCTATTTTGAAACGGATTTATAGAGCAAATCTGTTGCAAAAGCAATTACCATTTTTGCGTATGGGAGAAATGGATAAACTTGAGTTCAGGCTGGAAGTGGATGAAGAAGATGAAGTAGTCTGTCTTGTGAGACCACCAGCAGCACCAGGGAGTTTCAGATGCGTTGTCACCTTCTTTAAGCCAAACTGAATCATAAAAATATAGTTTACTCCAAAGTAAAAGGCATTTAACACATCATTTTGTTAGACTTGCTTAGTATTGTAGTTCATGCCCTTCTGTGGTCTTTGCTCACACCACCATTTAGAATAAAGTCTTCTTGGAAACACAGTTCACTTATTATACAGAATTGAATAAGAGATCTGAAGTGTGACATTGAACTTGTGGCAGGAATAAATAACAAGCATGGATGTCCTGCACCCTATTTACCTTCACATGAAAAGTTACACAAGAGTGCAAGAGAAAGTTATATACTATATCAGAAACTACTGCTTAAAAATACAGATTTCAGCTAAGGAAATTCTAGCAGTACTAAATATGGCAAAAAGTTAAACATACACACAACATCCACCATTCAGGTACATGTGCTCGCCAGAAGTTCATATTGCAGCAGGCAAGTACTAATGGTTTTGCAATACATTGCTCTAGTTTCCTGTTAACTCGCAGAAAAGCGCACTGTTTTTTTGTCAGATGGACCCCATTCATGCAGCACACCTCACAACACTGTGCTACCATTCAGGACCACAGGGCTGTAGCCTTACAAGGGAAAACAGGCACATCCTGGTAAGCAGCACACCACCAATTCCCACAGAAAGGCAGACTGTGCAGCAGCCAGCTCCCATTTGAGCAGGCACAGGCCAAGCCTGGTGCTCTAAGTTACACTTCCCTTCCAGTTACGTGCCCTCCTTGTCCACATGCTTTTTAGCATCGCCACGCTATTTCTTTGGTTCCTCAAGGAAACCATAATGATTTGCAGAAAGTAACCCCTTGCTGCATCTGAAAAACAGCAACAGGCTGAGGCTACTCACTGTGGATGCAACTAAGAGATCCTGCTATTTTGCAGACTACAACAGAAGGTTCCTAGTGGTGCTGACTTGGGGTGGAGGCAGGATTTGGCTCCTGCAAATGACCCATCCAGAGGGATTTGCAGCCTTCCCTGTGTAGAGGGTGCAGCATAAAAGTAGGTGTCTAAAGGTTCAAAATCAACAGCTAGAGATATTTTTACCTTCATGCATGTTATGGCAGTCTTTTCATGGTGGTTAACTACAGGCATCAAAAAACATGGTTCTTGCAGAAAATGGCAATTTGCTTTTTTTCAAGCTAGTGCTTTAACATAAAGGTAATATTTGTTAACCCACCACATAGTTGCATACATAGTTGCTCTTAAATACTTTCTTCGAGATACACAGAACACATTCAAGAATTACAATGTGGAACAAGAGGCAGCTTTCCATTGAATGTATTATACATAGCACTACAGCTTTAAATTGAAATGTAAACTATATTTCTGTAAAAAGAAAAAAGATTAATATCAAGATTATTTTCATATAAAAATACTTGCCATTACCTTACTTGGTGCAGGAAGGGCTTTTTTGTCTTGTATTGAGGAACTGCCACTGAATGAAGACTCAAAGACATCTGAAGCAGTACTTGATTTATCAGAAACAAGATCCTCATATGATCCCATGCTGTTCAAGTCTCTCTTTGGAGAAATGCTACTGTGTTTTCCTGATTTAGGCTGTAAATTTCAGAAGAACATTAAAAAGCTATCATTGTTTCTAAAAGCCACTGTAAAGTTCTTCCACAACTTGATTTTGTCAAGGCAATGAAGAAGCCTTTGAATTCCAGTCAAGTCCTTGGTCTTCAGGTTGATAGTTTAAATTCAGTCTAACATTTTTCAGGCATTAGAACAGGCTTCAACCCATATGATTAGAAGCCAACCTAGGGACAGTTCTGCAACAACAGTTCGTCAGCACGAGTTTCATATAATTTTAAGGATATAGGTGGATGTAATTATGAGAGTTACTTTTAATAGGGCTAGGGTTTAGGATTTAATGGTCTTTAACGCATATTCTTTTGCTTTAACTTTTTCAAGGGTAATTACAGTATTTACCTGTATCATCCAAAGCTGTCTTCTTAGACAGAGAGGAGCATAGAATTTGGCTGGTTACACCACACCCTAAATCATATACAGCTAATCAATCCTGTTAAGAATTGGAGGCAAGGTATAGGCAGACCCAGAACTAAATGAATTTCCTATCAAAATAATTCTGCCTTTTTTCCCCTACCTTATCACCTTTGACAGGAGTTGGAAGTAAAGCCATTTTATCACAGTAAGTCACCAAGGACACAGCTGTGATTTTATCAGTTAAATGTTTGTTTAGACATTGATAAAGAAGCAGTGATGACACTAATAGAAATGAAAACAGAAGAACATCTGCATGTGCTTAACCTTGTCCTAATAGACTGTCTAGATGGGTGCTGTAACACAGTACTTGCCTTCTTCTTTGCGCTTGGCAGCCATTAGATTTATTATTTCCAGTTTGAGGCTCTTAAGGCACAGAGAAACACCAGAGTATTACACTAATAAGAGTTCATGGACTGTTTAAAAACTCCTGTAACTCAAAGACCATGTTTAACAAAAAACACTGTTACACAGAATCTGTCTTTACCTTTTCTACAGTCAAAAAATTGTTTTTCCCAAGAGCAGATGAAGACTTGGACATTTGCAGTTTGCCAGTTGTCTTTTTACTTCTTTCCTTAGCTTTCTGGTCCTGAGCCAATGGTGACCCAGCAATGTGAGGAGATATATGAGTTTTAACAGGGCTTCTGTTTGCTGGAGTATGAAGAACATGTGTTTTATCATTTAAAAAAAGTTTATCTGTTTTTTTCTGAAAGGAAGGTGGCAATTGACAGACTGGACTCTCCCACACACAGTATGTCTCCCTTTTAATGGCCCTGGGACTTCTTTCCGTATTTTCATTTCTCAATATTTTCAGTTTTGACAAAGAATCTTCCACAAACTTTTCTGTAACCTTGTTTCCTTGTTCTTCTGACTGGGTAGTTTTGTTCTGTTCATTCTTATTTCCAGTCTCTATCTGTAGTGCAATCAAATTAGCTTCTTTGAAAATTTCAACAAATTTCTCTCCTGCAAGTGGGCTCCACAGAAGTTTACCACCAGAAGGAGATGCAGCCTTTTTTTCAGCATTTTTTGTTGCTTCAATGCTGACAGCAATACATTTTTCTTTGTGTCCCAGAGGTCCAACAAAAACTTCATCTTCATTTCCACTATGAATAAAAATTAGTCAGTCAAGAGCCTAACTTACTGACATTTTAAAGATGTACTTACTTGTGGACACCTAACTCACCTTGCAGGAGACAGTGAAAGGTTAAAATCAAACTTTTCATCAGTCAGCAGAGTAAAGTCTGAAACTATAATAATTTCATTAGAATTTTGCCATAGAGACATTTTCAGCAATTTGTATTGAATTATGCTTTGATAATTTGGTGAGGCTAACGTCATACAGCAAATGCAATTACTGAGTTTAAGTAATTAACATGGAACAGACATACAACATTTATTAGTTCAAAGAAATTACAAAGTTACACCCAGGCATATGATCATAATTGTCACGGATGCACAAATATCCTGGAAGATCTAAGGAAAGGGAGGAGCTCAAACTAGGCATAGAGAAGGGAGGCCCATCACCTCACATCACTGAAACAGCTGCTCTAACACAAGTTCTGAAGGAGCTCAGGCCATTGAGGTGGGTAATAGAAATCCATGCAAAAACACAGCATGCAGAACTAGTTATAAACTAGATATAAGAGATCTAGATAGTTTTTAGTACAGGATGCACCAGCTAGAGTATATTTTGAAACATTTGCCACCTACCATTGCTCGGGCAAATACCCGGTCTCTCTTTAGTCAGGGGACTTGAGCAACATGCTACTGTTTCTTTTCCTTCCTCCATAGTATCTAGAAAATAAGGAATACTGTGCAGTAGGCTTTAAAAGGCATTAATGTCACAGATTATGACTGTGGCACATCAGAAAGCAGGTGAACACCCCCACTGGAAGCTCGTGTGGAGATTCCAGCAACAGCCTCACAACGGAGCACTTTGAAGAGCCACAGAAATCCCACTGTGCTCTCCTCAGACAGGGCACCAAATGGACCAAGCAGTAACTAAACCTCCCACAGACGGGCAAGGGCCTCACCCGACCTAAGCGGCAGAGCTGCGGCCGGGCCGCGCCTGTGCTCCTGGACACACGCTGCTCGGTGGGGGAGCCGCCAGGGCGCCCCGCACGGCCACCCCGGACCGCCCCGCGCTCACCTCGTGCCGCTGCCACCGCCGCTGCCACCGCCGCGAACAAGGCCACCCTGCGCTGCCGGCGCCACGTTTGAAATCGCGCCCCCCGCTCACGTGACGCGCTGCGCGCGCTCTCATTGGCCGGTTCGAAGCATAACGGTGCCTTGGCCGGGGTCGCGGGGGCCGCTGGGGCGCGTAGTCGGCCGCGCGCCCCAACGGCCGCACACTGCCTCAGAGGGGGAGACCTGGGAAAAGTCCTCGCGAAAGCAACGGGAATGGGGGAAACACCCAGAAAGGGCCATGGGTGCAAAATCTGAAGTGGAGGAAAGAGGAAATAAAAGGAGAAAAAAAGGAGGGGGGGAGGGTGGGGAAGAGATGAACTCAGTGTACTGTTTTTATTGAGGCGTCTACCGTAATCATCACTTTTAAGGAAACAGGCCCCAAACTCCTCTAGCAGAACCAGCTCTGCCTCTATCTTTTAGGATCTGGTCTGAAAAAGCTACAACTGACTCAAGTCAGGGGATCCCTATAACTCCATAGTGCAGTCTTAATCTCTTCCTGGAAGTCATTATAATATTCCTATTTTTCTATGAAAATCATTTTTAAAACATTAATAACAAGGAATTGCTTGACAGCTGCAGCTGCTCCACTGGTTGCAGAAACCAATGTGTTTTATTCCATTTACACCCTTGTGTTCTGCTCCTGGCGCAGCCGCTGGGAGTAACGGGCACCCCCACTTCTATGGAAACGCGCAGTGATAAATTCCAAGTAAAGCTGCAACAAGTTCACTGAAAGGCAACTGAGGCTCACCACAGTTTCAGTTAAACCGTTAAAGTTTTGCTGAGGTCAAAATAGCTCTTTTTATACATGGTATTTATGGAAAAGAGTTTTACGACATGACAGACGAGTAGGAGTAAACGAAGTCAGCCTTAAGATTAAGAACATTTAATTTTGTAAGCTTTTAAACATTTACTTTGTATTTGAAATTCAATATAACATTTTCCAGAGCATAAATAATATCCCAGGACATGTTTGGACACTGCTAATGGTTTTACTAAAACTAAGGAACCAAGTATGATTTATATTAAAACACAAATGCTGCATGTGTGAAGACAAAAGCTTGTAGAAATGCACCAGAACTGCAAGCTCAGATTTGTCTTAGTCAACAGCGATAATAAATGACAAGAAATTTAAAGTAAAATTCAAATGGGAAATGGAGGTTATTTTACTTTTTGACAGTTTAAAGATGATATATGAAGCTGTTCATATTTTGTTTTGGGAAAGAAGAGCTTCTGCTTGTTTTTTTACACTACAAATTTTAATCCTGTACATTCAGAAGCCCTACAAACTAAACTATTAGATTTATTAAAGCATCGTAAACTCAATGAAAAACTTACGGTAGAACTTCTGCACTGGCACAGCACCTTTTAATTATTGTTACTGGGCAGAGACAAACGAAATATATGTGACATTTCATCAGAGAAACATAAAAATAGTTTCTATTCAAACTGCTTGAAAGTCTGGAGATTTGCTAGATTTTTAAAGCCCCTGTTTCTCCTTTGCTGAATAGTATCAGTGGTTTAGCAGAGGAAAATCCCGGTACACGAGGATATGTGCTACTCTTTCTTTGGTTTTTGTTTGCTTGTTTTTCTTATACACTGGCCCATTTATGCTTTCTACTCAGGTCTTCGTTCAAAGGGGTTGCATATGGCACATGCACTTTCAGGAAACTTAACCCCCCAAACAAAATCTGATTTCCAGAGCATAATTCTAGCTGAAGGGCACAAGGCAAATAACAGATTTCTGGCTTTAAGGCAAAGCAGAAATAACAGTAGGGCTTATTCACCCCACAGTAGTGCTGCCCACCTACAAAATGGACATTTATAGTAGGCAACACCAGTGCCCAGTGCAAGTTAATTCACATTGCAGTCACCTGGTGAATTTCATTATGACAATCAGCTTAACTCAGCTGAGAGAAAATCATCACTATTTAAAGACTAAGAAAAGCTCTGATCCATGTTGTTGTGACACTTCATTGATTTTATAATAAAAAAAGGAATTCTTACAGGTGGTCAAAATGCGTAAAAGGAAAAAAAATGCTATGATTTTACTGCTGCTATTACATTTTTTTTAATCAGCTCTAATTCCTGAGACACCTGGGAGTTATGACAAGTGAACAGACAACTCACATCACATTAACACGTGGCAACAAAATTCTCATCTTGTTTAGACACAATGAACAGGAAATGGCAAAACTTCAAATTTTAAATTTCCTGCTGCAGATTTCCTTATAGTTACTATCTCTAAATGTCCAAATATTTTCTTCTATGCCATTATACAGACTGCTTATTGAATGTGATTGTGTTATGAAAGTCCACAGATTGTTGAAGGCACCTCCTTTTCCCAGAGCTGTCAGAGTATTAGAGCACTTGTAAGTGATAGCAGCTTGAAATTTCACTCCAGGCAAATTAACCAAGGAATAATTGTAACTAAGTGTTACACAGAAGATAGCCAGTGATCTAACAAAAAGTAGCTGTAAGTTACAGCTCATCCTCCTGCATTTTTCACCACTAGCACCCTTCATCCGTGCATTACTTCTGTTGCTAAGAATTTGGCAGTGTTTTAGCAGCCAGCTACTGTTTATAAGAAGGGATCCCAGCAGTTAAAAGGAGCAGTCAGTCGTTGGGATTACTCATTATTTGCCTCTTGAGCTGCTCTGGAGATTTTTTTGGAGAACTTTGTCAAAAACAGCTTTAGAAAATCAGTAATTTTTGAATTTTGACTTGACATATATCAAGAGCTGAGTTCTCTGTGCTGTCCAGATCAGGGACAAAGAGTCTTGTGAAAACTTTGCTTCTTTGTGAGAGGGAGCAAGAGGGTAAAAAAAGGACAACTTTTCCCTCTCTGCAAGAAGAAATCTGTTTTATTGGCACCTCGACCACCAGGATAACATGAATGCCAGAAGGTAAGCTGCATGCACTGCATTCCCCAGACAGCGACAGTAGGAAACCAAGCTACTGACAGGGAAGTTATTCCTTTCGTGATCTTAACTTGATGCTGCCAGGTTAGCATTAACCGTGTCGTTTGATTTGCCGTTATGCATGACACAGAAGATAGCCTTTGTCACAAGTGTTAAAAATGTACTGCTCACTCTGAAAGTAGTTTATGTAAAATATCAGCTGCAGAATTTGTTTCATTGACAAGTTACCTTGTGCAGTTCGTTCTTCCAAGCCCTTCATCTTTAAAAATCAGTTCTAACAGCTCTCCTCCAAGTAGGCATAAGGACAATTTGTGGTTAAGAGTTCCTAACTCATAAACTGAGTCTTATCTAATGTTTGGGGTTTTATTTTTTGGTAACTCCTATTCTTCTGTGCAATAATAGCCCGGACAGCTATGAACAAGAGTTGCAATGTGTTGTACTTCTCAAACCCCTTCTAAGCTTCTTGAAAAGCTCAAGCTGACACATGTCCTTTCAGCATTATGATGAGGAGCACTGCAGCCAGGGCAAGTTAATGTGTTGCACTTCTCAGACCCCTTCTAAGCTTCTTGAAAAGCTCGAGCTGACGCATGTCCTTTCAGCATTACCGCTCAGATGAGGAGCACTGCAGCCAGGGCAAGTTACCATTGAGATACTGGAGTATTGACGGGAGTCGCTTCATATAGTCTAGCACTTTTGCTCTTAACCCCCTTGAGAAAGGCAGCAAAGCAAGCTAAAATATTCCTGCGTGGAATGCTGCAGATGCCCTTTGCATAGTTACTCCTGACTGGTGTCTCTGGCTAAAGAATACCCTGACAAAGCCTGCTGAGGGAAGTTCCCTCTGAAAGGAAGAAATAAAAAACACATTAGCTGAGCAGAATGGGAAGATCACACAGCACGTGCTGTGCTTATTCTCATGGATTGAAACTGATAAATTGTGTTTTAATCCTATCACAATTTTACGAAATGAAAAGGATGAACGGATCTCTATCAACAGCGAAGAAGAGCGCTCTATGTCCTCTAACAAGCCCATAAGCAGTCTCTCTGCCTGTCAGTGGGAGAGATACACCAAATGGCTGGTAAATGTTCTGCATTTCCAATTAAGGAAATGACTCTATTAGCCCCATACAGTTTGAAGAGCTCTTTCCCAAATCTAGTCAATGATTCAATGCACACTCTGTA